GGCCCGGGAGAGGAGAGTCGCTGGCCCCGACAGGCCCACTGGGCCACGCCCTGGGCTGCCCGGGATGCGCTGGCGCTGAGCAGTGCCAGTCACAGGTTTCGCACCTGGATGTTGACCTCGTGGGTGTCCTGGGCCTCCCGGAGGCCCTGGAGGGGCGTTTAGCTCAGGTCCATGGCGCACGCTTCTCAACCACCAGGCCCGCCAGGCGCAGGGCCAGGCGGTGCGGCAGCTCAGCGAGAGCCGGGTGAGCGGGCCGTGGGCTCTGCAGCAGGGAGGAGGCCTGGTGGGGGCAGCTGGGGGCGCCCGGCCTGTGCCGGCGGGTGTGTGACGTGTGTGTCGTTGGCATCGCAGTGGCTGTGTGCCCGGGCGCTCCCGAGTAGCCGAGCACCCTCGCTCCCCTCCCCGGCCCCCTGCTGCCGGTCCCCTGCCACCTGCTTGTCCGTGCAGCCCCCCAACTTTACCGGATTTTTAAATTCAGTGCTGGGGCGGGTGGGGGATTTGCTTTCTGCGTCCGTCCGCAGCCTGTGTCGCCACCCGCCGTCCTGGGCTCGCTGGTGGAGGGAGCGCGGAGCTGAGACGCTTCCGAGACGCGCCGGGCCGCTGAGCCCCAGAACGCTCAGACACCCACGGCCCAGTGCCGCCGCCCATGGCAGCTGTGGGGACCGTCTGCCGGGCTCAGTCGTGACATCTGGAAAGAGGGACTGAGACTCTCCTGTCAGGCTTCAAGTGCGGGTGCTTAAATTGAGCTTTTGGCACTTGGGGGGTGACCCTCGTTTGTTGACCTGCATTTCTGCTCTCTTTTTATTGCCTCACTTTCTACTTGGCATTAAAACTCCCTGGTCCCAATCTCTAGTCTGCATTTAGCATCATTTGGCTCTGCTGTGTTTATGTTGAAAACCACCTGAAGTCACCATGGCCATGGCCAGAAGACACAGAAATGGGCTTCTATCTTTAAAGTGCCTGGAGCCCCCCGATGTTTGTGTGGGAGTGGGCGCCGGTCGCGGTCGCTGCAGGTTGGGGTGGGGGTGCAGAGCCGGGCGGGGAGGGGTGTCATTAGCACTGTCAGCACCCACGTCATCACACGTCTGCCAGAGGAGGGCTTGAGGGCGGCTTCGACACCACCACGGGGCGTTCTTCCTCCACGTCGGTCGGGCGTGGAGAGCCGTGAGCTCAGTGTGGCTGCAGGGATAGGGTGTCACGGGGGGAAGCCCCGTGTGCTTGCCCACACGTCCCCGGGGGCTCCCGACTGCACGGAGAAGCAGTCACAGGGGTTGTGACAGCCGAGGGTGCTGGGGCCACCCGGGGGTTGCAGTTGAGCTGCGGGGCGGGCTGACGTGCCCATTTGGGGGAGGCCTGGGTGATGCCAGGGTCGCCGTCTTGGGGCCTCGGGCCCTCGGCACCTGGCGATGGGATGCGTGCCCAGGTGGTCCAGATGCTTCCCCGGGCCCAGGCTGGCTTCTGAGCTCAGCAGGTGAGTGCCAGGCTCTGCTGTACCCAGCCGCTGGGGGAAGGGGAAGACGAGGAAGCCACGTTCTACGTAGGGCACTTTTGGGGGACAGCCAGG